ACTTAGCCAACAAAATCATGCATGGCAGTGGACAAATTTAGATTCAGTAAATGGAAAAACAAGTTTTTTTTTCTTTTCGGTATCTTGTAAGTATGCATCAACAGGCGACTGTGTCACCTCTTTCCACACTACAAAACTGAGTTTTTCAGTAGACCCGTTTACGCTTCAATGTTTTTTCATTTGTGTCTCGAATGGCTGGACATATAGCGTACTAATAACTGTTGAAAAGTATGGAACAACAGCTCCTATTTAGCCTATGCTTCAATGAAATTTTATTATTTGAGTTCCACTTTTCAACAATGTTCTCGACCTGCTATGAATGACAAAACAAAAAAATGACTAGAGATTAATTATATAGAGACTTTATCCATTTTAGAGGAACGGTACCTTATTTTACTGGTGGTGGCTTTAGGTATTTCTCCAAAGACTAGACTAGACTAGATGTCCATTGAAAACAGTGATATACAAATACGTGTCGGTAGCACAGTTGGATAATGTAACATCTAAAACTTACCTTGTGGTTTTGCATGCTGATAATAATCGTCCATGTTTGTCTGGCCACTTATCCTTGAAATACTGTTTACTAATACACCGCTTTGGTCACATCATATATGGACAAACAAGGAATATTATGCACATTTGCTTCTCAAAAGAAAAACAGATATCTGCTGATGACGTCACGACCTAGCGAATGCCGTATATTCATAAAAATGACAGACATTTGAGGTTAAGAAAAATTTGTATTTCAAAGTGAAAATTCTCTCATGATCTGAGCAAACATTTGCACTTTTGCCAGATCACTGTTGACCCTAAATGACACAGATTTCACGATAGAGATCATACCTACAGTAATGGACAAAAGTATATAGACAAATATGAGTATTTACTTAAATACCTTTAGAAATTCATACTTCATTTCTCCATAAACCAATGCGTTATTGGTAGAAAAACTAAATTGCTTGTTTTTACATTATCTGCAATGAACATAATACAAGTCTGAATATAAGCACTTTTTTTTGAGGTACAAAAATATGTAGACAAATTCTTTTCAACATTAGTTTAGTACAGTTTCGTGTCAGAAAAGGATTGTGTTCATCAAGTATTGTGGAATAGGTTGAGTGATTTTAAGACCATGCCGTGTGGTTCAGAAATTTCTTTCGATGTGAAAACTGAGATCACCGAGTTATACAAAGATGGTCAACGTCAAGTCGACATTGCCAAAAATGTGAAGCTGAAGCGTAAAGCAGTTTGGGCAATACTGAACAGATATAAACAAATAGGTATCTTGGAAGCCTCTAAGAGAAGTGGTCGGCCTAGAAAACTAAATGCTAGATCAGTTAGATTAATAAAAGTAATTTCGTCCAAAGATCAATTGTCAGTGTTTCTACGAAAACTATAAGTAGAAGATTAAATGATTTGAAGTTATTTGCACGTCGCCCGAGTAAGAAGCCGCTAATCTCGAGGAAAAACCGTAAGGACCGATTACAATTTGCACGGTTGCATCTTGATTGGAGCATGTGTGACTGGAAGAGGGTATGTCTCAGTGACGAATCCAAGTTCAATATGTTTGGATCAGATGGTCTTCATTATGTTAGTCGTACTAGTGGACAAAGATTGAATCCCAAGTACACATTACACACTGTCAAACATGGAGGCGGGTCTGTTATGGTTTGGGGGTGCTTTTCGGGGTTTGGGATGAGACCTTTGCATAGAATAGATGGCATTATGGATAAGTTTGTGTACACAGACAGACTAAAGCATGTCATGTTACCCTATAAGGAAGACAATATGCCCTTAAGATCACTCTTTCAGCAAGATAATGACCCGAAGCACACTTCAAATCTCGCAAAGAAATTCTTTCTGGATGAAAAAATACCAGTTCTCAAATGGTCTTCACATTGAAAATCTATGGGAATACTTAGATAAGCAAATACGAGATAAAAATTATTCAAACATGGATGAACTTTTTGCCGCTTTAGAGACAGATTGATGAACCTAATATCAAGAAACTTCTACAATCTATGCCGAGATGATGCCAGGAGATGATTGATAATAATGGTTATGGTACAAAATGTTAACACAAGCAAGGTTGATTTTCTATAATTCAATGAACTTTGCTTCTTTTTTCTATAATTGTTTTGCTTTGTCTATATATTTTGTCCTTCATAGTTCCAGTTTTTTCAATCAATTTTTTATTGAAGGGAGTCTAATGAATTTATTTATGTATAACTGAATTTATTTATGCTATAACGAATTATGTATACAGGTTGGTGTATTAATAAAACAAGTTAAAAAAGAAATACAGCACAATATTAATTTGTCTATATGCTTTTGTCCATTACTGTATATTCCATTATGTGCCCGATGATGTATTTTCCGTTTTATCCACCGCGTGCGATTCAGTTACCCCCACTATGTACTCCGCTCCCGACGAACACGGAATTGCTTTAGCTATAGAGAATACTTGGGATGACCAAGGTTTCCATAGTTTGTCTTGCAGCACCGCCACTGCGACTTTTGTTTTATTATCCGAACCAGGCTAAAGAGCAGTTTCAATCGTGTTCAAGACCACACAGTACGATAACAATTAACAAGAATCCTCTGTGCATATCGCAACCCGGTGGACGCACGCTCCAGACAGAGACAGAGAAAAATTCGAAACCATTTACAGGCGATTCCATCTGGGCCTAATTATTGTTTTCATACGTGTTACGAAACACCCACTTAATCTTTGACATGCAGTTATAACAGGGTATAATTTAAATGTGCAAAATGAAAAGAAATACAAAAAAGAAATTGTATGTTACCGAAACAGCGCGTCGTTTGCGCTTTGGACCGCCGTGGTTTGAATAAATGCGGGCCAGAGAGATGGTGCATCGCAAGCTTGTTAAGAATGAAATACAAGCCTTTTTAATCATTCAAATTCAAAAATTAAGGATGTAATATTTCAACTTTATCCCGCTATTGAGTGACTAACAAAGAAAAAAATACCTCACCTTGACGAAATTAAGGTCGCAAACATTTTAATTCGGCTGCAAATGCTGTCGGGAATTCACTTGATATAGCGATTAGAGTGACACTAGAAGGGAGAGATGTACATTAGAATCATTTTTGGGTTATATACTAGATTGAAATTAGTTCCTGAGAAGACAGAAGTCGTCCTACATTCCGGCAGGCTGAAGCTTACTTCACCGGTTGTTAGGGTTAGAAATGTCGAGAAAACGACATAAGGCACGACCGATAAGTGAATGAAGATTTTGCATCCCTGATTCAGCTAACGCCGTCTAGATAGATATATAGGATCTTGGCTGGACAAATTTGATGACATATGCTATATGTCTAAATGACATGACAAGCTTCGAGGAGGAAGAAATATAGGTAACTGATGCTCAGAAGTCAGGGGAAGATCGTGATGTATACTTATAGAATAATATCTGCAGATGCATTGCAAGCTGTGCCTGGTGCTCCGCCTATTCATTTGCTTGCTGAGGCAAGATGTGAGCTCTATAAGAAGGGCGCTGAAGCCAAGGCAGCGAAAGAAAGGCGCTCTATGTTAGATGGATTGAGAGATGAATGCAACTGGTCCTGGTGCATGGACTAGAAGACTGATTATGGATATTAAAACTTGGGTTGACAACGGAGAGGTGCAGATAGATATTTTCTCATAGAACATGTTTTCATTGCGTATATTGCAGCAAAGAGGATTGCTCATCTATTCGAGTGCGGCAGATGGGTCAAGCAACTATAACTGATGCGCGAGAGGCTCACTGTCTGTTTGCCCGGATGGCAGTAATTATTATTAATTGTAAGATTTTGTAGAAATCCACTGACACTGACGAAATGATCAGTAATTACTAATGGTATGGACTACAGTAAATTGATATTATGAAATTTTTTGTAGTAGTAACACCATTTACGGTGTCACATAACATCTTAGATAGGTTCAGAAATGAACATTCCATGAGTCGTCGATGCTCTTGTTTTTACTACCCACTCTGCTAGAGCCCGACATTTTCTTGCAAGTGTCTTATTGACATTTCCTTCTAATGAACTTTCTCTAAAAGAAATGCTGTTTTATATCTATAATATTTTTAGCAACGTGTGCCTTAGTCATAATAAAGGTTTTGATATATATATATATACCAAATTGGAAACTGTTCATACCTTCACACAGATTTTATCTCAAACAGCATATTCTACTCATTGAAACCAAAGTTGCAAATTGTTCTAAATTTGTGAAGTGTACGGTACAAGTCACTAAAGAATTTTAATTGGGGCTATGCTTTTAGCCAGACCGCTCAGCAAATGATGCCATTGTGTTCAAATATAATGGAGAAATTTTGGTTAGCTGTCCAAGGTATTCCGAGAATCTTGAAACATGACCACCTGCGAATATGGCACAAAATCTTCGGAGTCATTAGAATTAACATTTATATTTGTTAATATTCAGTTTGTACCATCTGAGTTAGGGTTGGGAACTATGTTACAGTATACCATCAAAAATATTATATACGCATACGCACGTAACTTGAAAAGATTGTTTCTGAACCGCAAAAAAAGTTGTTTTCTGAAAGTGTGTTTGTCGCGGCAACTGAGTATACTTACAGCTGATCACATTTGAGAGATTGTTTAGCGGGATAGCTGATGGTCAAAGAACTTTTTGCTGTAACTTTATTGTATGATTAAGAAATACACGTTTTTTGGAAACTCCCTACCATTGTCCTTTAGTGATGAAAACTCCTACATAATCTACACGGTGGTATCATCTTGGCCGAAGCAAAATCATGTACCTCCTACAACCTACAAATATGGCTTTATTGATGGTAGCTAAAGATTGTGTTTAGGTTCCTGTTTGGGGATTTTATTGTAAATATTTTTTTCTTCCAGGCGCAAACGGGCTCCGGCGACGAGGCAGACAAACTTACACCCGCTACCAAACCTTGGAGTTAGAGAAGGAGTTCCACACGAATCACTACCTGACGAGGCGGCGGAGGATCGAAATGGCGCATGCGCTCTGCCTCACCGAACGCCAGATCAAAATATGGTTCCAGAACCGCAGGATGAAACTCAAGAAGGAGATACAAGCTATCAAGGTCAGTCTACTCTATTCCAACCAAAGTATCTCTTTTTTATTCGGTTTTAATTCACCAAAGTACCTCGCTACGCGTAAAGTTGGGGTTTTAACAATCAAGATTGGAATTGAAGTCGTCGATACCTAATATGAATCAGCCGAAGCCCGTCAAAAAAATGGTATGCTTTCAAGTGCGCAAAACAGACTTTGGTACGTGTTTACAAAGTGCAGCTCAGTGAAATATTCTCGATATTTCCCTAATCGGGATAAGGCACAAAACGTTGAAAATTATAAACAATTCTGTAAAGATTTCCTCAGTCTTGGTCACTAAACTAGATGTGATAATTTGGTGTCAAATTCTATGCATTTAGTACAATTTGGACTGTTATTGAACCATATATGAAAAATTATAAACGGTACTGTACGAAGCACCTGCTTGAAATATTTAATATTTCCACGGCTATTTTTGATGATGTTAACATAGCTTATAAAATTTTTGGAAAGTAGCAGCAAAACATTCACTGAACGCGCGCCTGGTTAACAATTAAGAATCAAAGGTTTACAATAACAATACCTCCTCAGATGCTTTAATTGTTACTGGATGATTGAAGAATTTCCAGGATCATAAGCACCATTTTTCGTATTATTTTTCTGTGTCGAAAATGGTATATTTCGTACTTTTTCTTTTCAAATACTGTATGGCTTACATCTCTAAAACTATATACTTAATAGAGGAATTTGGTGCACCAAGAGTGAGATAGATTTCGGCCTGGGGACTAGCAGGTTTGTTAAAAGGAGCCCGTATTGAATAATACTCATATTATGCAAAAAAAACGAATCAGAATATTTTTCACATGAGACGCGAAGATAATTACGCAAAAATGCATAATCTTCGTTTGAATCCTAGAAAAACAAAACTTAGCATATATTCTCACAAAAATTGAGGACCTATATTAAAAGTATACAAGCATAGCTATGGATGGCGTCATCATATAGTTGGATAATGCCTCCATCCACGTAAGGCAAACCAAACGAAAACATTACCTAAATAAATTGAATAATAACTTAAATGATCCTAAGCGGCTTTGGACAACTATTGATGAGATTACTGGGAAAACAAAATTTAAAGAGTGTGTCACTGAGTTAAATACAACATCGGGAACAGTATTAAAATATACTCAACAGATATGCGATGAATTTGTACAATTCTTTACTGACATAGGCGAAAATTTAGCAAGTAATATACAAACAAATGTACAAAATACTCAGCCTCCAAAAAGAACTTTGAACTCATTTATTTTGGATAATGTCGAACAATGTGAAGTATACACCACTGTTATGTCCTTAAAAAATCGGAAAAGTCCTGGGTTCGATGGTATTAAAAACGAGCATTTGAAAATTATAGTCGAGGACATAACAGAACTTACCTAATCAACAAATGCTTTGAATCTGGCATATATCCCTCAATTTTAAAAAAAGGTAATATAATACCGATACATAAATCAGGAACAAAAACAGATGTTAACAACTATAGACCAATATCAATAATATCCAGTGTAGCAAAGGTTTTTGAAAAAGTTTTATCTACTAGAATGATTCGATACCTCACAAAATTCAAAATTTTAAGTAAAAATCAATGTGGATTTACAGAAGGAAAGGCTACATCGGACGCAATAACTAAAATTGTTAATCAAATATATCAAAATATTGATAACAGAATCCCTTCAATCTGCATTTTTGTTGATTTAAAGAAAGCTTTCGACACAGTTAATCACAAATTATTATTAGAAGCATTGGAGAGAATTGGTTTCAGAGGAAACGCGTACTCACTGATCGAAAGTTATTTGTCAAATCGCCCACAATCTGTACAGATATCAGGATCATTTAGTAAAGAAATGTATATTAAGTGTGGTGTCCCACAAGGAACTGTCTTAGGTCCGCTGTTATTCAATATATATTTAAATGATATTTTCCAAATTAATTGTGTTGGCAAAATAACTAGTTTTGCAGATGATACTGCAATATTATATGAAGGCACTGACTGGTCTGATCTGAAAAATGTAATTGAAAATGATTTTATCAAAATTATTCGGTGGTTTAACAGTAGAAAATTAAGCATTAACTACTCTAAAAACACATTTTTTACCATTTGGATCTTATGCTAGACATTGCCAAATTACACAAATTTCTCCTTCAATATTAATGATCAAAAAATGCAAATTAATAGAGTGCCCAACATAAAATACCTTGGAGTGGTCTTGGATCCTCACTTACGATGGGACATCCATGTCAATTATATTTTAAAGAAAGTTAGATTTGTATCCTACAAAATTAAATACCTTGGTATTGACAGAAAAATATCTTCGAACATTATACCATGCACTGATTGAGCCTCATCTCACATATGGTATATTAGCATGGGGAGCTGCATGTTCCTCACATATCTATAATTTAGATGTTTTTCAAAAAAGTATTCTAAAAATGATATTTAAAAAACCGAAACTTGATCCCACTGAAAAATTATATGCAGATGTTCGAATGTATGATATAAGACAGCTTTATTTCTTACACAGTATCACTCACTACCATAAATTTGTAAACACCGACCAAAAAATTAAACATAATCATTATACCAGGTACAAAATTCGTGGCACAGTAGTTCCTCAACCGCATAAATCTATAATGCAGCGATCATATCTCTATTTAGCGCCTAAATTTTATGAAATTATACCTAAAGACTTAAAAGATTTACATTTCGGAAATTGTTTCAAAAGAAATTTGAAAAAGTGGCTACATTCTATATCTAGGACTGAAATTCATAAACTCATAAATACGAACATCAACTAAATACATAATCTACTGTAGCTAATTTTTGTCCTTTTTTGTCATTTGCATTCTACAGTTTCAACTTAAATTATTGGTCTATGTACAGGCGATGCCTTCTATTGGGCCTGTTTTGATTTTATATTTATTTACTCATATTGTTTGTTATCTTTGTACATTGAGTAAATAAATATTATTATTATTATTTATTTTTAGATTTCATATCTATAGGGCGCTTACAAAAAATCCTAAGTACTTGCTGTAGATTAGTAGAAAACTTGAAAAAGTACGACCATATTTCGACATATTTTCAAAAACTAGGTTAGTTGAATGTTACAAAATTATATAAATATCTCTTACTATGTTATGTTCATAATCTCCAAAGTACCTCAATACATCCATTCTTGAAGATAGAGATATCCGTTTCCCAAATAGACTTACCATGCCTATCCATTTATTTATTTATTACCTATTGAATTCTCATAAAGTCGTTTATTATTATACAGGGTGTTTCAGAACTAAGGGGTCAAACTTATAGGGGGTTATTCAGTGTAACAGTAGAACATTTGAGTATAGGGGCCCATATCCGGAAAAGTGTCACGCGTTAAAATTTAGAAAGATGATGAGTTGAATAAATAAGATTTAATGCATTTAATGTTTGCCTTTTGTACATGATATCATCACAACAATTGTTCAAAATGGCGGACTTGACTAAAAACTTGATATTCGGTTTGAATGATTTCAAATTCGTCCAATTAAGTCTTGCTCTGTTTCTACAGGAGTTTCGTAAATCAAAGACTTATGTCTCCACAGGAACGGTGTATTCAAGTTGGAGGAAGTCATTTTGAACAATTGTTGTGATGATATCATGTACAAAAATTAAATGCATTAAATCCTATTTAGTGAATTAATCGTCTTTCTAAATTTTAATGCGTCTTAGAGCCGTAGTACCGTAGTGAAACTTTTCAGGATATGGGCCCCTATACTCAAATGTTTCCTACTGTTACACTGAATAACCCCTACAAGCTTGATCCCATAGTTCTGAAACACCCTGTATAGCCCTATTGTACGTTCTCTTCAGCGGCGCCGGCAACTCCAAAGGCGTAACCTACGATAAAACAATATTCTTATATCAAACTAACTGCCTTCTTCCTTTGTAACAGGAACTGAACGAGCAAGAAAAGCAAGCGCAGGCGCAGAAGGCAGCAGCGGCGGCAGCGGCAGCCGCGGGGGTGGGCCAGGTGGAGCAGAACTAGTGTTGGATGGGCGGCGCTGGTGGCAGTACAAGCAGCAATGCTACCGCCGTCCCCAATGCAACATCGGGGGCGGTCGGACAAGCAGCTGGGGCGGCCACCGGCGACCACCACCATCAAGCGCACCAAGAGTACTTGGAGGAGCGGCACCAGCTGATGGCCGGATGAGGTGAGTGTCTGAGAAAGGCCTGAATGCTCGTTTAATCTTTGCTGCTCTTTCCCTGTACTTTTGATACACATTTGGGAACAGGATGGAATGAAAAAGGCTTGTTGATTGGATAAATAGAAAAGATATGCTCATACTGACATATTTCCGAATGTTCATATAAAATGATTTCAATTTCGGCACTCGTCGTAGTTATAATCATATACTCATTCTAACGTAAATAAATGGATGATATCCTTTACAGTCACTTTTTTAGTCTGTTGTCTGTTAATTTTAATGAAAGGAATGTTCAGAAGTTCCAGAAAAACGTTGCAATATTTGTAGGGCGTAAAGGAGATAAAAAATAATAGTAGAAGTTAAATATGGGTTCTAAAGTGTCCCCTTACCAAGATAGAGTGGTGGAATTATAATTTCTGAATCGAAAATAAATAATTTATTGACAGCAGAACGAGACATTTCATTTCATGCATTTCATGCGTGAGACTACACCAGTGGCATAGATATTGGAAAATGTTCAATTTCATTACAGAGGAAAAAATTTTTTTCTACGCCACTGTCTTTTTCAAACATCTATTGCATTTTTTAGTGAGTCATTCGGTTTTACATAAATCGTTTTTCTAGAGAAACGTCTGTCAGATTACTTTTTTGCAGAAAAATTGGGTGGAATATTTAAGGTAAAAGCTTTTTAAGAGGTCATGTTTTGTCCTTATTTAGTCTCATCAGTGGCGTAGGAATTTACAACATTCTGCATCTTGATAATGAGGCATTTCAGAGCTTTTTTGTTATTTTTGGGTGAACTTTCTACTCCAGAAGTATTGACACCTTTTTTCTGATTACACCCTCTATATTTTGTTCAGCTGGTTCTACTTTGAAAGTACGCTGAATGTAGTGAAGCTTGACATTGAA